GAATATAATTCAGACAATTATTTTATGTCTTCAAAGTAATTTAATTATTATTCATATTCTTATAATTCTTATTTTTCTTTTTAAATTGGATATATATATTATTATATTTATTTGTACATCTTCTCCAAAGAATCATCTATTGATTATTTGAAATCCATAATTTAATCTAATATATTTTTATAATAGCTTAATCTTGCTTGATTCTCTTTAGTTTTGACATCTCTTTATTAAGCCTTCACTAATTAGATTCTCTCTTTTGATTACTCAATCGTAGCCACTTTATTATTATTCATTTTCTCAACTAAGCATTTACCACAAAAGAATTAAATCTGTGATTTATCCGATAAGTCAAAGTCAACAGCGATCAATTCTAGATTATGAATTTTACATATTGTTTCTTATTTTTCTTACACTTATTTTTGATTTAAGATATTCATCTTTGTTATTTAAATTAATTAATGTAATTATGTATCATTTATCCAGCCTTTATTTATAAAAATCAAATTCCCATTCTAATTCTATCATTTAATAATATATAAAAATTTTAGTATATTTTTATATATTAATTCAGAATTAAGAATAAGAACTCTTTCTAACTGAAATAAAAGAGTTTTATAGATTTCAATGATAGAACATCACCAGAGGCCCCTTATACTGAAAATAAGTCATCGAACTTTTTTTAATCAATACAAATTGTGTAAAATTCTTCATCATTAATCTCACACAAGAATTGACAAACTTTAAAATAATCAGATTTATTTTAAGACCTTATGATATATAAAAGATCTAAACTTATGAATTTAAAAATTTACTAAAAAAACTGTTTTTGAATTCTAGGTATTTCGAATAAAATTTTTGGATTTATAAGTTTTAATTTTGATTTTAACAGGTAAAGTTACATGTTAATGCGTAATAAAGGTAATATTTAAATAATGGAGATATTGTCAATCATTTTTTAAGATCACCTATAATTTTAATTTGATAATTATTATTAATATTATTTCTTTTTTTGATAAAAATAGTCAAGAACTCAAGCAGATATTATTAAAGCCTTTTGATATTTATTTTGCTTTTATAGATATTATAACAATTTTTATTGAATAATGAGGAGGATAATCAAAAAATTCAAAAATTTAATTTTTGAATGATTTGGTTAAGTTTGTAATTAAAAATAATTGAAGATCTTTTTTTTCTGATTGTCGTCTAGCTTATACAATATTTGACTTTTCTAAAGTACCCTCATCACAGATGTTTTTAAGTATTATCCAGTAGCATGATTTTGCTTTAGTATTTCCATATGTTTTTACAATTTTATACTTTTTATTTCATCTAGTCTAGGAAATTATGGAGTTTAGGATTATAAGGTTATAATTGTAATGAATGAGATAGTATAAATATTCAATGAGAAAAGATAACTTCAGTCGTCTTATATTAACTTTACATCCTGATAATGACTTATAATTCATCCATCTTTTCTTTGTTGATACATAATTACAGAGTCCTTGATTTCCTAAAAAAATCTTATTTCGTATTTCTATAATTTCTTCATGAATTGTGATAATTGTTCTTGTATTGTGTTTTTCATATGTGCTTTAATGAAACCTAGTATTATATGATACTTTAGTTTTTAATGAATAACCAGATTATCCAAAATTTATGAATTTCTATTCTGGCTATTAACATAATTCTCTTCTGATTGTATAGAGCTCTTAATTAATTTACTGCTTATTGATTTGTTGAATAAAGATATGTTAGCTTATAAGTTTAATTATGCTGAGGATTTTATAATTGTTTTTT